GTTTTTGTGCGGGTGGGGCCGCGCGCGGGGGTGTGCCGGGGAGCCGGTGCCTGCACCGCGCAGGGAAGACACGAGGAGCTCCTGCTGCCCCCTGGCGGCCGGCGCGCTGGCGGGTAGCCCCCGGCTCCTCCTGCTGATTTCCAGAAAGGAGGGCAAAAAACCCCAAGAGGGCAGTCGCCCAGGGTCCCTGGGCCACCCGAGGGCTCTTCTCCTGCCACCATCCCGAGGAGCGGCCATGCGACAACTGAGCCAGACCCAGAGATTGCTAGGGCAGCCGGGACTAAGCGCTCTGTGGCAAAAGCTCCGGTGGATCCGCAGGGGTGGGGTGGCGTGGGGTGAGGAGCAGACATGATCTCAGACTCCTGGAGGCCTCTAGGGGCCCCTGACCTAGCAAAGCAGAGCTAGGCGCCCAGCGCCGGTCGGCCGGTGGTGGAAGGACGGCGGTTAGTCCAGGCCTTGCAAACTTGTCTTGAAAGAAGCACAACTAATTTTTTTTCCCCTGGTAGGGAAGAGGAAGTTGCTGGCGAGCCCCTAGTGTGATCTGGCAGGTGACTTTGCTTAAAGGTCCTTTGGGAGGTAAGAGATGGATCACGATGGAAGGCGCAATGGAGGGTTTGGAGTAGGCATGTTCCCTAGCAGGTGGGAGTGTGGTGGGTGGGAGGAGCTGCGCTTGCGGGCATGGGACACCCCACTGGGCTCTCCTGGAAGGGCACTGGTAAGGCGCGGTAGTTGGAGGTGCCCCACGACAGAGGGGAGCGGTAGGGACCAGGTGAACAGTGAGGAGGGTCCTGGCCGTGCATCTCCCCTTCCACCAGGAGGACTCTTCCCCTGCTCCCCACCGAGCTCTGCTAACCGTCGCCTCCCCCTTACTGGCCTCTGCGGTCTCCTCGGTGAGCATTGGGCCCCTGCTCAGTGTCCTCCGCCAGCTCTTGGCTCTCACCTCAGTCCAACCCTTAACCTGCCTCTTCTTCTGCTTGGAGCTGCGGGTGCTCCGACCCAATAGACCGCAGGCTCTCTGGGGGCGGTGCATTGGGTCAGGCAGTCACAGGACCTCACACAGAACTGCAGTGAGTCAGAGTGGACAGACATGTTTTGTGCCTGTGGACATACGTGTGCATTTCCATCAACAGCAAGCACTTAGGTGGATCTCCTTGGAGCTACTATGCGGAAGGAGAAATTCCTGGGCTAGGAGACAGCGCTGTGAACCCAACCATCCAGGGACCTGGGCCGGAGTGCCCACGCCTTACAGGTGGAAGTTAGAATTGGGTTACTCTCCAGTTGCCCGCCAGAAGGTGCATCCCCCCAAATAAAGATCTGGAGGCCGGTGTTGGAGGTCCTGCCTATGCCGGCCGCCTCTGTGTCGGCCCATCAGGTGCTGGCCCCTCCCCCCTACTTTGACGGTGGCGGTCCAGAGGCTCTGGACAGGGGTGTCTGCAGCTGACTGGCTCTTCTAGGAGAGCAAAGGTAAGAAAAGTACCCGCGAAACTGCCTGGAGTTTGCTGGATGAAGAGGAAGGCTACTGGCTGTTGAGATTTGTAGGGGCTCTAACACGTGATCCAGTGTCTAGTTCTGTTTATTTCGTGTGGTAAAATACACGGAACATGACATCGACCATTTTAACAATTTTTAAGTATACAATTCAGTGGCATTAGGTACATTCACAACGTTGAGCAACCATCACCACTATGTAGTTCTGAACTTTCTTGTCACCCCAAAAAGAACCCTGTGTCCATTAAGCCAAGGGTCGCTCCTCACTCCCCTGCCCCCAGTCCCTGGCAACCATTAATCTACCTTTCTGTCTCTATGGGTTGACCTTTTTGGGGTATTTCACATAAATGAAATTATACAATACGTGGATGTCTGCATTTGACTTCTTTCATTTGGCCTAATGTTTTCAAGATTATTCACATTGTATTGGCACTTCTCTTTCCTCTTTATGACTGGATAATATTCCATTGTATGGATATACCACATTTTGTTTATTCATTCATCTGCTGATGGACACTTGGGCTGTTTCCACCTTTTGGCTATTGTGAATAATGTTGTCACACCAGCCTATACACAACTGTTTGAATTCCTGTTTTCAGTTCTTTTGGGGATGTACCTAAGAGTGGAATTGCTGGGTCATATGGTAACTTTATATTGAGAGAGGCTGCACCATTTTGCATTCCTGTCCGCGGTCCATGAAGGTTCCAGCCTTTCCACATTCTCACCCACATTTGCCATTTCCGGGGGTTGTGGTGGCTGTGAGAGCCGCCTTGTGAGTGTGAAGTGATGTCTCATTGTGGTCTTGATTTGCACTTCCCTCATAACAGGCGGTGCTGAGCATCTTTTCTTTAATTGGTCTCCCAGCCTCCAGGCCTTCTTGTATACTCATTCTGACCAATGAAGAGCAGGCTGAGTCCTCCTTCCACAGTCTCCAACTCTGAAGCCCCCAGAATTTCCCAACGCTTCCTAGAAAAAAAACACACATTCCTGCCTATCCTGCCCTGACAGCTCAACTCACACCCTCTGGGCTCCAGCCTCTAGAAAACTCTGCCAAGTACTAAGATATACAAATGTTTGCACCTGCTATTTGCTCTGCCTAGAACATTCTCTGATGCCCCCCTTCATATCGCCAACCTCACCTATTCTCCATGACCTTTCATTTCTGGGTTATGTGCCCTCCTCTGCTCCTGCAGCCCCCTCTTAAAATCCCCATCCCCCCATCGTGACACTCTCCATTCTGACACCTAGTTGTCAGCTCAACAGCCTCTTCCATAAGACCGAAGTCCACCAGGGCCATGACTGGGTCTGGGGCTCAGCTCTCTGTCTCATGCCCAGCAAAGTGGGCTCAGTACAGCAGTGCTCAGTGGCCATTTGCATGGACAGGTGGTGGGGGAGTGGGAGGATGCCCAGGTGTGTTGAATTACTATCCTGGGCCCAGTTTGTGTTCTCTGCCCAGAAGCAGCTCCATGTGGGCTTAGACAGTTTTGGTGAAGGGCGTCCTACCACATGGACCCGAATTTGAACCATGACACAGCTGGGCCCCTCCACTGATAGACACAGTTGAGGGACGCAAGGATGGACTATTTCCGTCCATCTCGTTGTGTGTGTGCTTGAGGGATTTTCACTATAGGGCATGTGTGTTCACTGGAGAGACAGAGAGACCGAGAGACAGAAATCACCCACCCAGTGGGGGATGGCCACGCTGCAATCCCTTCTCCATTCTCTCCTTGGGATTTTGGGCACACATGCACTTAACGCCTCATGTGAGTTTCAAGCTGTTGGGTGCAGGACTTGAATTGCAGTGTCACATGGGAATCCAGTTCCTTAACCATATGCCACCTGCTGGCCCCCATCTAGTTTTTAAAGCCCATCAGGGGATTTTGACACCTAGTTGTCAGCTCAACAGCCTCTTCCATAAGACCGAAGTCCACCAGGGCCATGACTGGGTCTGGGGCTCAGCTCTCTGTCTCATGCCCAGCAAAGTGGGCTCAGTACAGCAGTGCTCAGTGGCCATTTGCATGGACAGGTGGTGGGGGAGTGGGAGGATGCCCAGGTGTGTTGAATTACTATCCTGGGCCCAGTTTGTGTTCTCTGCCCAGAAGCAGCTCCATGTGGGCTTAGACAGTTTTGGTGAAGGGCGTCCTACCACATGGACCCGAATTTGAACCATGACACAGCTGGGCCCCTCCACTGATAGACACAGTTGAGGGACGCAAGGATGGACTATTTCCGTCCATCTCGTTGTGTGTGTGCTTGAGGGATTTTCACTATAGGGCATGTGTGTTCACTGGAGAGACAGAGAGACCGAGAGACAGAAATCACCCACCCAGTGGGGGATGGCCACGCTGCAATCCCTTCTCCATTCTCTCCTTGGGATTTTGGGCACACATGCACTTAACGCCTCATGTGAGTTTCAAGCTGTTGGGTGCAGGACTTGAATTGCAGTGTCACATGGGAATCCAGTTCCTTAACCATATGCCACCTGCTGGCCCCCATCTAGTTTTTAAAGCCCATCAGGGGATTTTGACATGTGCTAAATTTTAGGAACTACTAGATGAGACAGCTACAGAAAAGAAAGGCGTCCCTCGTCCTCACTTTCAGAGGACCTTAAAAGAAAATGACAAGCTAGGAGCCAGGCAAGCTCAGGCCAGAGCAGGGGGAAGAAAATGACAGTGGCCCCTCCTCCCTCGTAATCACCCAGGATTGGCTTCAGCCCAAGGTCAGCCTTCACCAGCAAAAGGGGTTCACGTGGGTCACGTGGAGATGAGAACTTGACTCTTGGCTCTGGGAACAGCTCAACGCTCCGTCTTTGCACAGACGCTGGCTCTTGTGGAGCGACTCCAACCCAACCCGAAGACTTAGTAAAAATGTCCCACTCCATCTGGTCTCCTGCTGTTTTATTCTCTCATCCAAGGGCTCAATGGGAAACAATAATCAGCCTGACTGGGCCTTGTGGGTTGTGGCCACGCCCACCAGATGATTGACAAGCAATTCAGGGGCTGGGCGTGGACCCAGGGTCTGACCCAAGCCCGATTACTGATTAGGCTGCAGTTTAAAAGTAGCGGGGGCTGCAAGGCTTTGGGAGGTGAGAACCTCGCTGGGTCTTAGCTTTGCTGATTCTCATCCCTGGGGGTTGACTTTGTGCCTTTGGAGGTGAGTTTCCTTGTGAGGGGCCTTGGGAAGAGAGTTGTCTGGTAAGGGAAGGAGTCTCTGTAGTAGTCTCAACTCTGGGAGAGGGGAGGGGGGAATTGGCGATGTTGCCTGTTCCTGTTGCTTTTCCTAGCAAACCTCGTCTTATGCAGAGGGTGAAATTCTTATTAATTTGAAGTCTGAAGTCCTGGTTAAATAGCTTCCCTGCTCTTAGGCTGTATCCAACCCCATGAGGGTCCAGGCCCTCCTCATTCTGGGCTGGGAGTGTCTGCTCAGTGCCTTCATCCTCACACATGCTCAACCATCTGCTATCTCCAGGTGATGGAGGCCTGATGTGTGTTCATTTAAACAAGTGATTAGGAATCATAAGCATTGTCACTTAGGGGAAGATGAGAATGGACTTGTCTGAAAAAGAATCCAGGTCCAATCATTCTTTTTTTTGAGAAGTTTTTGCGATAGGGCATGTGCGCTCGCCAGAAAGACAGAGACAGAGAGAAAGCGAGAAATCACCCCCCAGGGGGGATGGCCATGCTGCAATCCCTTCTCCTCCATTCTCCTCTTGGGATTTTGGGCATGCACGCACACGTGCCTGGCGGGAGTTTAAGCCACTGGGTCTGGGACTTGAACCGCAGTCAGCTACATGAGAGTTCAGCGACACAGCCATTACACAAACTGCTGGTCCCTCATTTTTCTTTTCTTAACTTTCTTTTCTTTCTTTTTTTTTTTTTTTTTGAGAAGTTTTTGCTATACCGTGCTTGTGCTTACTAGAGAGACAGACAGACAGTGAGAAATCACCCCCTCAGCGGGAATGGCCACACTGAAATCCCTTCTCCATTCTCTTCTCAGGATTTTGGGCATGTACACCCATATGCCTGGCATGAGTTTAAAGCCACCAGGTCCAGGACTTGAACCATGGTTGACTATGTGAGTCCAGCGACATAACTGCTATGCCACCTGCTAGTCCCTCCAACAATTTCTGACTGAGGTTCAAATGTCCACAAATATGCAAAAAATGATACTAAATTATGCAGTGATGAATTCCTCCCATTCTTCTTTCCTATTTGCCACTTTCCATCCCCAAAAGGGAAATTCTTATTAATTTATATGTGTATACAAATATATACAAAGATAAATTTTTATTTCTATCCTTATACACACAGCAATTGCATATTATACATATTACTGTGATGCTTACTTTTTTTTCTTTACTTATTAATACATCTTAGAATTTTCCATATGAATACCTGTGTTCTTGTTATCTTTAACAGCTGCATACTACTCCACTATACGGATATACCATAACTTAATTCACCAGTATCCTTCTATGGCCATTTGGGTCTTTTTTTAAAAAAAATAGTTATCTATTTAATTCCATTTGTTGTTATTATTTTTTAATTTGACCAGTAGAGACAGAGAAAGGGAAAGTGAGAGAGCAAGTCATCAGGTCCAGGACTCGAACCACGGTTGACCATGATGGGAATCCAGCATCTTAACCACCATGCTGCCTGATGACCCTGGCCAGTTGGGTTTTATACAGACATCTCTGTCACAAGTAATGCTACAATGCTCTTTTATGTACTTCATTTTGCATGTATCCATTTGCAGCAATAGGATAAACTCCTAAAGATGGAAATACTAGGTCAAAGGGTGATTACATTGGTAATCGTGGTGGATATTGCCTTCCTTCTCATGGGGAAGTAGGAAAGAAGACTACTTAGAGACAGAGAGGGTTTGAACCTCGACTCTGTGCTTTATGGCTGATTGATCATGGAGCCTATATTTACCTGCTCTGAGCTCCAGTTTTAAAAACCTACAAATGTGGGACTAGCAGTTGGTGTAATGGCTATGTTGCTGGACTCCCATGTAGTCGACCATGGTTCAAGTCCTAGACCCGGAGGCTGAAACTCACACTGGGCACATGTGTAGGCGTGCCCAAGATCCCAAGAGGAGAACGGAGGAGAAGGGATTGCGGCATGGCCAGCCCCCCCTTGGGGAGGGTTTCTCACTTTCTATCTCTCTGTCTCTGTCTTTCTGGTGAGTGCATGTGCCCTATAGCAAAAAATCTCTCAAAACAAAAAAAGAAGTTATCTAAAAAAATAACCTACAAAATGTGGCCCACACAGTTGTGAGGATAAAATGAGATCACTTGGATAAAACATTTAGTTCAGGACCAAACACCTAGCCAGAGCAATACAACTACCTTTGCTTTTTCCAAAGATGGGCAGCCTGGGCTCTCCCTGGCACTAGAGCATTCAGTGAGAGCCAAAAATTGAGCTGGACTGTCAAGCCTTTGGTTCTAATGGGGAGATCTCCTCATCAGGTGCAACTGGTAAGTTTCTTATAGAAACGTGGGCCTCATGAGGGCCCTTGTAAGGCCAGCTGTTGGGAATATTGGAATGGAACCTTCCTGAAGGCATTTCATCGACGGTAAATCCTCAAAGGTCCCTACTTCAGTTTACTGTCCATTTATTGAGTTTTTGCCACCAGCCTTAGGTAATGCTGAATATTCTTCACAGGTGATTCTAGTAAGTTCTCAGCATTATCCCATAAGGCAGGAATTCTTTACCCTCCTCCCCCCCATAGTATGTGGGAGGGAGAGAGGTTTTTTTCATGTTTGTTTTTGTTTTGTTTTTGCTATAGGGCACGTCCACCCACTGGAGAGAGACGGGAAAAGTGAGAAATCATCCCCTAATCAGGATAATTATGCTACAGTCCCTTCTCTTCCATTCTCCCCTCAGTGCTCTGGGCATGCGTGCACGTATGCTTGGTGTTATTTTCTAGTTGCTCTGTCTGAAACTTGAGTTGTGTGGTCAGCCATATGGGACCCAGCACCTTAACCTCTACACCACCTGCTTGCCCAAGAGATAAATATTTTTGACAGGGTCCTGCCATGTTGCAATCTTCCTACCCCAGCCTTCCAGTCAGCTAGGACCCCAGGCGCACACCACCATACTTGGCCTGTTTGGGTGGGTCTGGGAACCAAACCCAGGCCTCCCATGTGGCCTCAGCCACTGCTCAGCAGTGCCCACCTGCTCGTACTCTTGCAGCTGGGTCAGAGAAGGACATATTAATGACTGCCAAGCCAATTTCTTCATTATTTTACAGTTGGCCATTTGTATTCATGGGTTCTGCATTGGTGGACTCAACCAACCATGCATCAAAAATATTTGAAAAAAATGATAAAAATAATACAAATTAAAAAGATAAAGTACAGTTACATAGCATTACATTGTGTTAGGTATTGTAAACTAGAGATGATCTTAAGGATACGGAGAAAGTACGTATGTTATTTGCAAACTCTATGCTGTTTTATACAAGGGACTTAACATCCTCAGATTATGGGATCTGCATGTCCCGGAACCACTACCCTGTGGATACTGAAGTATGACCGTACAACCTTATATTTACACAGCCTCATTGGGCTCCTCCATGTTGTTCCCTCTAGGGGGCGAAAGACTGTGGAGTCTATGGAGTTTTTTCTTGCCTTACGTTTTAAGAGCACTGGGGATGAACTCTCATTTGAAATCCGTATGAGGCCATGGCCTGGTGGTTAAGGGAGCCAAATCCTACATGGCCAAGTGCACAGTTCAAATTTGAGCCCGAGCAGCTTGAAAAACATGCTGGGTGTGTGTGCATTCATGCCCCAAATTCTCAACAGGGTAGAGAAATGGAGAAGTAAGGGACTGTGGCATGACAGCACTCCATGGGGGACTGGGGAGGGGGGGACAGTGCTTTTCCTCTCTCCTGTCACTCTGACAAGAACATGTGTCCTCAGGGGGAGGGGCGGAGTGTATGGCCAGGTGAAAGAGAGAATTTGACTTTATGACCAGAAATTCAGTCCATGTGTGTAAAGGGGAAAACGTAACACTAGGTACTGAATCTCAAGTCTGAGACTTTCACCCCTAACAGCATTGCTGCCAAATGTGGTTTAAAAGGTCAGTTGGTTGAGACCAGCAGTTGGTGTAATGGCTATGACACTAGACTCCCATGTAGTTGACCGTGGTTCGAGTCCTAGACCCGGAGGCTTAAGCTCATGCTAGACATATATGCATGCATGCCCAGTATCCCGAGGGGAGGATGGAGTAGAAGGGATTGCCCTGGGGGGTGATTTCTTACTTTCAGTCTCGTTCTTTCTGGCAAGCACACGTGCCCTATAGGAAAAACCTCTCAAAAAAAAAAAAAAAAAAAAAGATTAGCTGGCAACCAACCTTCCGAATCCTCCCTCCAGAGGAGGTGACCTATCTAAACAGCCCACAAGCACATGTCTGTGTCTCCACCTCCATTCTCAGGCTGCAGGTAGGCAGGAAGAGCTCAGAACCCAGGGTCTGTTTGTTGGGTCTGTTTTTCAAGTTCTAGCACCAGGTGGCCCAGGCCCACATTGACCTAAGAACATGAGTGGAGAGAAGGACGAGGCCTCCTTCAGTATACTCAGGATCTACGACAAACCAGAGGAGAGGAGGAATATGCCAGAAAGCTCTGGAATTCCTTCTCATGAGCAACGAGTGCTGCAGCCACTGGACAGCCCACTCGAAGGACCCCAGCAGCCCCCAGACTCCCCGACGCAGCTCGGGCCTGTTTATCAGGAGATGAGCAGCATGACCCAGCAGCAGTGGGACTTCCAGGCCCGAGACAGATCTGAGCTGCAGGCCACGTGGTTCTCAGAAGGAAAACCAGGAGGAGCAGCAGAGGCTGGCCCAAGGCAGGGCTCGCTGGAACTGGCAAGGGGGTGGTGGGCCAAGCACCCGGGAGAGGGTCTTAGTACAAAGCTCTCTGTCTCATGCTCCTTCTCTCCATTTGTCACAGCTTCGTGCCAGGACCTGAGTGTGGTAAGAACTGGCCGTGGCCATGTGGGCAGGGAGGGGTAGTCGCCCAAGCCTGGCCCGAGATCAGGGGCCGGGAACTGGGCTGGGGGGCGTGCTGGGGTCCTGAGGGCAACCAGTTCGGGGTGGTGCCCGACCCTCTCTGTGAGCAGGTGGGTGCTGCTATCTGCCCACGGGCCAGCCTTCCGTCTCACAGCCCCGGAGAGGAGAACTCTGGTCCCTCCTCGCAGGGATCGTAAGTGTCATTCATTTGGTCTCTTATAGCTCGCTGTCCTCTGTGTCTCTGTCCATCACCTGTTTCTCGATTATCTGTCATGTACATTCGAACACACACACTCGGAATCCTTCCTTAACTGCCTACCCCTTCATCAGGAGGGGGTGTATCTGAACTCTTCTCCGCCCCATTGGTGGTGGGTGTTCTGGGACCCCTGCTCCTTTTGAACCAGCTGGCCCTCCTCCGCTCCCCCTCTGACACATGGGGCTTTCAGCTCACAGTGTCGCTCCTTTGAGAGATGTAACCTCTGGGACGTGAAGCCAAGCTCTCCTTTGGAAGGATGGGTGGTTAGGAATTGAGCTGTAGGACAGGGGCAGGCTGTCCCCACAGATGACAGTGGGTCAGGGACATGATGCTTTTCTTGCCACCTGTTCTGTCCTTGCCCCAGCCTCGCATCCCGGAGGAAGCGGTGGTCCGGCGGAGGACTCCCCATAGCTGCTGGAAGGTTGGCTCGCTCTCGCACGGGAAGAAGGTCTACGCCATTGCCATCAGCCGCTTCACCCGCCATGTGTACACGTGTGGTTCGGGCTGCATCAAAGTGTGGGACGAGAGTGCCCTGCATGCCTGGGACAAGGCCCCATGGGCCCAGCTGGACTTGCAGGTGACGGGTATTCCAGTAGGGCTTGGGGTCCAAGAGGGGGGTCTCTGTATGAGACTCGGTGTGAACTGTCCCCACAGGACCGCCAAGACTGTGTGCTCACCTGCCGGCTGTTCCCCAGCGAGCAGAGCCTGATCACAGGCGGGGAGTCACAGACCCTGACGCTGTGGGACCTGGCGCCCACCCCCCGAGTCAGGGCCCTGCTGCCCGCTACAGGCCCCATGTGCTTCTCCCTGGCTGTCTCCTCTGATGCCCGTATCTGCTTGGCTTGTTTCAAAGGATTTGTGGAGATCTGGGATCTGCAGAACCAAATCTTGATCAGGTAGGACCTCTCTTCATAGTCACTCAGGTGCTCCTGGGCGAGGGCTTGTAGGGAGACCTCGCTGTCCCCTCTGCAGTAGGGCCAGGTGAGTCAGTGACGAGGATATACTTGGGGTACTTCTTGGAGGCTTCCTGGCCCTGAAGCTCCCAGGGGGCCCAAACCAGTCTGTGAACCTCAGAGTTGTTTTCCCACCAGGAAGCAAAAGGTCCCCGAGTACGGATCCCGGTGTGTTGACCTCACAGGCAGTACGTTCTGGACAGGAGGTGAAGACACCAACCTGTATTCCTGGGACCTGAGGAGCTACCAGAGGCTGCAGCAGTATGATTTGCAAAACGAGGTGCCTGGTTGGTTATGGAGGGCTGAGCTCACCCTCACTGGAGCTGCGGGTGAAGTGGACACACCCAGCCCGGAGTTGACGTGGTGGGCACCAAGGGTGGCATTGGCACCGTGTCATTGGCTGACCCCAAATCTTCCAAACAGATCCTCTGCATTACTCATGACCCCAGTGGGGAATGGGTGCTGGTGGGCGTGAGAAACGGTGATCTCATAATCCTGCACACGCATCGGAATGAGAAGTTTAGGGTTCCTGTACAAAAATACTTCCACTACCACAACCTCAAGTTTGCCTCCTGTGGTGAGTGAAAAGCCTGGTGACACTTGCAGGTGTCCTGTCCTCAAGTCGCTTTCCTTTCTTCTCTCTCTCCTCATCCCCCTTTCCTTTCCTGGCTCCTTCTGCAATGGTAGCTTCCTACACAGAATGACGGCCGGAGACACGGGCAGACGGAAGAGGCGTGGCGCCCCACTGACTGTCCCGTTCAGTGATTCTCCCCGTGATCCTGTGTGTGGTAGAAGACCCTGTGTGGGGGTAGATCAGGGAATTTTCATAGAAACTGAGGCAGAGAAAGAGACTTGTCCTTTCCCAGCTAGTCAGGGGCAGAGCTGGAACTAGCTGCGGGCTTGGTCTTGGCCTCTCCACTCATTCTTTCCGTTGCCAGGGACGTACTTTGTGACCACACTGGACAAGTCCTTCCATGGCTTAGCGGCACCTTCTCTGGAAAGGCTGTTTCAGGTACCAGAAAGAGGGATGCACAAACCCAGGCCCTTGGAGCTTATATCCCCAGATCCCAGGTGGTCGGATCCCAGAGTGCAGGAAAGTACCTCTGAGACGGCATCTGGCGCCCTTTTATGAGGGGGGAGGAGAGAAGACTTAAGACCCTGTCAACTCATGAGGTCCACCCTGAGCCCTGATGCCTGGCTTGGTCTCCAGACCAAGCCTTGGGTCTATGTGAGGCTCTGAAGGAGCCCTGAAAGGAGCCTTGTGTCTGGCTCAAGCCTTGGCCTGCAGGTGGTCCCTCTCCTGGCCTCTCATCCCTCTAGGCAGAAGAGTCCTCAGAAATCCTGTGTTGCGATGTGTCCTCTGACAGCCAGTACCTGGTCACGGGCTCCAGGAACAGTGCCACAGTTTACCAGCTCATGTATTGAAAGTTACGGGCCCTGGTCCTGCTAGCGGGGACCTACAGAAGGCCGGGGTGGCTGAGGATGACCTCAGAGTGGCTGATGTCCTCAGCAGCTGCCATGACCCCGCTTGCTCTCCCAGGTTTTAGTATATGCCTTGGGGCCTTTTCCTTCCTTGTTTTTCTGCCACTGGTTTCTGGGCTTTGGTGGGAAAAATAAGATCTTTTGAGATCTGACCTTTGTATTTGATTAAATAGCAAAGTAAAAACCAAACGGAGATGTGGGAGATGTGTCAGTTTCTTTCACATAACAGACTCCTTGTGATGCCTCCATCCAGCAAATTTGGGGCGGGGGCAGGGGAGAGAATTCAGATTGGACTTAAGCTTGTTTGTAATCTTTTCGGAGTGTCTGGGAATTCTTAGAATCTTAAGGAAACTCAAGAAAGTTATGTACATATGCAAGCTTTCAGATTGTTATCAGGGAGTTGATAGACCAACAGTGCTCAACTCAAGTTAAAACTCCAGAAACAGCGCCAGCTGGTGGTGCAGCAGTGAAATGAAGCTCTGCGAGGGAATCTCACGGAAAGGTTCCCAGTTCAAGGCCTGAGACCTCCCTGAGAACTCTGCACTTGCCCACCGTCTGGGGCTGGCTGAAGCTGGGGGTGGGTAGTGGCACTGAGACCCTGCTGAAGAGGCTGGCTCTGCTATTTATGGAAGAACGAAATGTATCAACCAACAGCTGCAGAAACCTTTTTAACCATGTTGAAAGCGGGCTCTCTTTTCTTGTCTAGCCTCCATGATAGAGGAGCTCCCACTTTCATGATACCTTGGTTTATCGGACTTTCTTTTTTTAGGTTTTTGCCATCGGTCATGTGCACTTGTCAGAGAGCAACAGAGAGAGGGAAAGTGAGGAATCGCCTCCCCGCAGCGGGCAGATGTACCACAGTTCGTTTTCTTTCATTCTCCTCTTGGGATTTTGGGCACGCGTGCACATGTGCCTGGAGTGATCTTTCAAGCTGGTGGGTCTGGGACTTGAATCGCAGTCTGCCAAGTGGGAGTCTAGTACTTTAACCACCATGCCACCTGCTGTCCAATACTGACTCTTTAGAAGTCCTGATCCTAATTCTGACATGTGGGACCAAAGCCGCCTGCTATACTTCTAATAGTCTAAGACTTATGTTGAAATTTAATTGTCATTGTGATGGTATTGAGAGATGGAACTTTGAAGAGGTAATTAAGACATTGGAGCTCTACCCTTATTAATAGGTCAATGCCCTTCTCATGAGAATGGTTCCTGATCAAAAGGATGAAATCGGCCTGATTTCCCCTGTCTTGCACACTCGCTTGTCCCTGCCTTCTGTCATGGGATGACATGGCAGGAAGGCCCTTGCCTGGTGCCGGCACCATGCTCTTGAAATCCCCAGTCTTTAGTATTGCGAACCAGATATATTGAGTTATTGGGAAAGTCATGATGCGTTTCGCACAGAAGCATAAATTTTCTGACAACCTAATATTTCTGGTCATGATAAATTGCCCAGTTGGTGGTATTCTGGAAATGAAGGAAACGAACTTCTACACTGCCCATCTCACTAATTCAGGACAGCTTCGTCATGTTTGAGGAGACGGCAAAAGTAATATTTCAACTGGTCTTCAGCAGGCTAGACCAGTCCCATCCCCTGAACAAAGCCATGCAGCAGGGGCTCCATGGCCTACTGGTTAAAGGAGCCGGGTTCCTTATGAGTGATGACGCATCTCGAATCCTGGCCCCTATGGTTTGAAAAACAAACCAGGCAGGTAATATTTCCTATGCCCTATTGATATTAGTCAGGATATGGACAGAATCTAAAGTGGAATAAAAAAGCAACACATGAACCTAACTGAATACCAAGCAAACAACCACAGCTGAAGGAGGTGGGGTGAAAGGAACTCACCCGTGCAACTTGTGAGGACAGTATTAGGGCTGCATGTCGTGAGGCTAACAGCAAAAGGACCTGGACATAGATGTACTTAAGGTAGCAAATGTGTTTTTCACAGGAGAATGCTTTAGCAATTCTGAAAGTTTTTTTCTGTGTGTTCTAGGATCAAGCCAATAAGTCAGTGTATTGTGGAAGAGAGGCAGGTTTCTTGCTGACAGAGAAGGAGTTACAAATAAAGATGGGCAAGACTGGAGCTGATGTTTGATGTTGTATGGAACCAAAGGTATCAGGCAAATTTCTACTGAGGTAATGCCAACAAGTTAGGAAGCGCTTCCAAACCAACAAGGGCCTGCCTAGAGGGCACAGTCAACCTGCAAGTGCTATAATGGCCAAATGCGGAATAATTTTAGCAACCCAATGAATAGTGGTAATATTAGGTCGTCAGGAAAGTCATGATGTGTTTTTGTACACAAAAATGTGTCATGACAATACAACAGATTATATATCTCATAGAATAAAATAACTATCGGGCCAGCCGGTAGCATGGTGCTAAGGCGACTAGATCCCACATGGCTGACTGTACAGTTTGAGTCCTGGACCCGGTAGCTTGAGAAATACACCAGGCGCATGCGTGCATGTGTGCCCCAAATCCAAAAGGGAGACTTGGAAAAGGGTTTGCCGTGTGGCCATCCCCCATAAGGAGTCTCTCTTTCTCTCTCTGGCAAGAGAGGTGAGGTGCATACACTCTTTGGCAATATTTAAAAAAAAATAGAATGTCACCATTTGACAAACAGCGTAATTATAACAGGCAAGAATCGTCAGAGGGAAAAATGCTGACTGCATGGAGAAATGTGGCAGATACCCCTTTCTCAAATTGCACAAGGTGAAGTCATTGGGTGTGCTGCGTACCACGCAGTGCATCTCCTGGTGTGATGTACTGAAGACAGAATGGCGGTTCTGTGTTATTTTTCGAGCCCAAGATACCTGATATGGGTTTGTTGGTGAGGAAATGGTAGATAAACCCAAAGAGGAGGGACATTCTACACAATTACTACCCAGTGCTCTTTGAATGAGTCAAGGTCATGTGAAGGGCAGACTATGGATTGTGCCAGCTGGAAGAGATGGAAGAAGTAAGACAACCAAGGGCCAAGTGGGTTCCTGGACTGGATCCTGGAACAAGGGAAGGGCATGAATGGGCAGGGGGCTGACATGGAATAAGTCTGTAGATTAGAGGGTCAATGTTAATTTTCTGGTTCTTCTCATTGCATGATGTTTACGTTAGTGTTAACATCTGGGGAAGCCAAGCGAAGGGTATTTGGGAAATTTATGAGATTCACAATTTTTTCACAAGTTTGAAAATTATTTTAAGAAGCAAATGTAAAATTTATAAACAAATGAGGGACTAGCAGATGGCATAATGATTATATCACTGGGCTCTCACGTGGTTGACCACCGTTCTAGTCCCAGATCTGGAGGCTTAAAACTCATGCCAGGCACATGTGCATGCATGCACAAAATTCTGAGAGGAGAATGGAAGAGAAGGGATTGCAGCATGGCCATCCCCCCAGGGGGTGATTTCTTGCTTTCTGTCTCTCTAGCGAGCACATATGCCCTATAGCAAAAATCCCTCTCGAAAAACAAATGAATAAAAACAGAGGCTTTCAGGTCTTATTCCAGAGATTCTGATTCAGTCACCCTTTTAACCAATTTCTTAGATGTTTCCAGGTATAGGTGTTTATTCCAATATAAATTTCCCTAATTAGGTGAACTAGAACATCTTTTTTTTGAGAGGTTTTTTTTTTT